TATATATATATTTCTCCAGATATAAAGAACATTCGACCAGAATAGAAAATTCACATTCGATTTTGCCCGCTTCTGACAACATCTGGTTAATTTATACAGAGGAAAGGTACCTGCGATTTCTCTGGATGGATAAGCTATGATTTATTTTTCTTTATAAATGGACCCCGAAGTGTTTTTAACCTTGTGTTGTTTTTTTCTGAGGGTTTACTTTTTTTTGTTTGGTGTTTTGTTGATATACAATAAAGTTCTATTGTTCAGTTTTTGGTGTGGACGGTTGTGTTTAGGGGGCACCTTTTTTTATAGCGCAGTAGGAATGCTCATGTAGCACGGCTCTTACTACAGCCATATTAAACTGACGAGAGCTGCAATCACTTCCTGTTCTATTTTCATCCCTTGTCGTGTTTTTTAGGATCTGGCTGAGTCCGCTATATCCTAAGTTGCCGGAAGGTTCTTCCTCTCTTGCGGGGGAATCGATCACCAACTTCAGGTCTGACCTCATGGCGTACCTGGCATCGTACAACTCCCCAAGCCTGCGTGAATGGATGGATATCATTAAACAGCACGATCTGTCAGAGACCAGGTCTGTACCCCTCGAGATGTCCTCGCTATATGTCCCCAGTCTTATGGCAGGCATCATTCAACCCACTTCCTCTGAGCCCGGGTCATCCTGGACCCACCCCAAGCCTGTGACTCGACAGTGAAAGGAGAAGCAGCAGAGTGATGAGCTCATCTCTCTGTCACTGTGCTCTCTCCTCCTATCAGCTTGTTTCTTGTCAACACATGAACTGATTGGCTCCTTGTGCTGCTTCTTTCCCTTACTCCAGCCCTGCTGTACAGGGACTGCAAGAAGCTGATACCAGGTACTTGCACTGCTTGTATTAATAATCTTATGTCTGCCGAGTTGAGCTTTAAACTTTACATGGTTATTTTGTAATGATTTAGGGATGCACCGATTCCGAGTATTTGGGCGAGTACTCGTACTCGCCCAAATGCTCCGATGCCTGGCCCGATACCAGATCTTCCGGTATCAGGAAGCTGGGCAGCGAGTCATCACACGCTGCCCGGCCTCCTGACTGGCCAGCTTCCCGACCAAGAAGGAAGACAGACGGCGAGTCATCACACGGTGACGAGGGAGGATGGAGCCGGCTTCCCGGGCCAATTAGGAAGCCGGACAGTGTGTTTTGACTCGCCGTCTATCTTCCTGCTTGGTCGGGAAGCTGTCCAATCAGGAAGCCGGACGGCGAGTCATTACCCGCCCCCCCCGGCTTCCTGATTGGCCATAAAGCCGGCTTCATGCTCCCTCGTCACATGACGAGGGAGCATGGAGACAGCTTCCCTGCTAATCGGGATGCCGGGTGGCGAGTATTTACATGCCGCCTGGCTTCCTTAATGGGACTTCAGTATCGGTATTCGTTATCGGCAAGTACCTGAAAAAAATATATCGGTACTCAATACTGAAAAATCGGTATCGGTGAATCCCTAGGAATTATAGCGTTATTATTGGATTATAATTTAGTAATGCATTTAAAGTGGAAGTAAATTGCTCCCCCCCCCCCCAAAAACAAAGGGCCCTTGGGAGATTTTCCCATAATGTGCCGGTATACATGGCATGGCATGCTAAGCAAAGCGATCCCCTCCAGCGCTGTGATGTTCACGCCGCCACTTCCATCTTCTCTGGGTTTGGAGTCAGCGACCGGGCTGAGATGAAGTACCTCCCATACGTGATCCACACTGAGATTTGTACATTGTGCAGCACATGCGCGACTCAGTGCATACGCAGACGGAGACATTGTTGACATGGGAAGAAGCAGAATAGAAGAAGGCAATTTTGCCAAAAAAGTTGACCTGCCAATGTGTTTTCAAAGAAAGAAGTTTACTTGACTTTTAAAGGCAAACTCTGCGTAGAATTATGTGCATGGAAATTGTCACAATACGACTCTGATGTCATAAAACAAACTCGTCACATCAGACGGCTCATTTATTAATATCATTACATGTAAAAATGTCTTCACGTGTTCTCAATGTATCCATAAAAAGTGGTGTTCCCCTTTACTCAGGGTGTACCTGATTGGATCAACTCCCGGAAGGTATCAGGGCCACGATAAAGAGAAGTGGGGGCATTTACGCTTGAGGAAGGTACGTGTGATTCCAAGTTTTGTGTTATATCCAGTTGGGCTTTTAGTGTGTCAGTATTAGGGACATTGATACAATGAAAGATGTGCTTGCTATTTATGATTGGTAGATGCGGCATGGAGATGGCGGTAATGCTAACAATGGTGCAGGATTTGGAAGAGGATCCAGTGTTGTATTTTAAATGTGTCCTACTGTGCGATTCCAGGGTCAATTTTAAGTTTTTTTGTAATTGGTCCCCAAGGCAGTTCCCCCAGAAGGCCCCCCCTCCACAGCATTTCCTTTTTACTAGGGATGCACCAATACCGTTTTTTCAGTATCGAGTACGAGTACCGATATTTTTTTTCCCCGTACTCATCAATACCGAATACTGATACCGGAAGTCCCATTAAGGAAGCTAGGCGTCGCGTAATGACTCACCACCCGGCTTCCCGTTTAGCAGGGAAGCCGTCTCTATGCTTCCTCATCACCAGGTAACAAGGAAGCATGGTGCCGGCTTTCTGGACAATCAGGAAGCCAAGGGGCGGGTAATTGCCGCCTGGCTTCCTGATTGGCCTGCTTCTCGATCAATCAGGAAGCCAGGCGGCGAGTCATTACACGGCGCCTAGCTTCTTGATTAGCCGGGAAGCCGGCTCCATGCTCCCTCGTCACCAGGTGACGAGGTAGCATGAAGCCGGCTTTCTAGTCAATCAGGAAGCCGGGGGGCGGCGGTTGACGCGCCCTCCGGCTTCCTCATTGGCCATCTTCCTGACCAATCAGGAAGCCAGGCAGCGATTCAGTGCATGCTGCCGGGCTTTCTGATTGGCCAGGCAGCCGGCTCCATGCTCCCTCATAACCAAGTGATGAGGGAGCATGGAGCCGGCTGCCTGGCCAATCAGGAAGCCTGGCAGTGTGTAATGACTCGCTGCCCAGCTTCCTGATTGGTCAGGTATTGGGCGAGACATCGGTGCATTTGGGCGAGTATGAGTCCCTGGACCCGCCCCTTTCATTCATTGGATTTCAGTTCTTTCAGTCATGGAGACTCAGCATCACATGTGTGCATTACCTAGGGTGATCTACATGGAAATGCAGCCAGCCTTTGCAACGCCCACTCCTCCAGACTAATATCCACCCATCAAAGCATTTTGATATTTGCATAACTCCTCCCAAGGGAGCCGGCAGAGTCAGTCTTTTGGTGCCAGACAAGCAGGAGATTTCTATTAGGGGATGTAGAGCTGACTATTGTAGATGGTGCTGTATAACAAACATCATGGTTACTTTCCGTACAACATTCACCATATTCCGTACAGCATTCACCATATTCCGTATAACATTCACCATATTCCGTACAACATTCACCATATTCCGTACAACATTCACCATATTCCGTACAACATTCACCATATTCCGTATAACATTCACCATATTCCGTATAACATTCACCATATTCCGTATAACATTCACCATATTCCGTACAACATTCACCATATTCCGTCTTCCTTTTTTGCAGATATTACGAGAGAAAGGTTGCCAGGTCTCGGGTGTTGAATCGTGGCCTGTGATTGGCCAGTTTTCCAGTATCGGTTCTATGGGAGCTGACCACACCAAATGGCTTCACTCTGAGTTTGGCTGAAGAATGCTCCTTACATTGGTGGTCAGTGGGAAGAATGCTCCTTACATTGGGGGTCAGTGAGAAGAATGCTCCTTACATTGGGGGTCAGTGGGAAGAATGCTCCTTACATTGGTGTATGTGAATGGGCATCTCCTCAGTCCGCGCTCACCATCCCCTACATGACTAAACCTGACACGTCTCTTGCAGATCTACCCATCAGTGGACAATGTCAGGACGAGTCTGGAAGGTTACCCTGGTGAGTATCTGCTAAATCATTAGATCACATGGCTTGGTTACCATGACATTACTGAGCTGGGGACTCGGGTCTGTTGGCCGACAGGGATTCTATCTGCATGGAGTTTGTATTTGGATCTGTATACCTGTGCTAGGAACATTAGAGGCTGATGTGAAATATATAATGTGACCGGCTCAGTTTTCTCTGTACAGCGCTGCGGTATATGTCAGAGCTATATAATGTATAATAATAATAGAGTGTGACTGTGGGGGGGACACATTAGAGTGTAAGCTCATCTGTACAGAGACTGATGTGACTGTGGGGGGGGCATTAGAGTGTAAGCTCCTCTGTACAGAGACTGATGTGACCGTGGTGGAACATTAGAGTGTAAGCTCCTCTGTACGGAGACTGATGTGACGGTGGGGGAGGGGACATTAGAGTGTAAGCTCCTCTGTACAGAGACTGATGTCACTGGGGGGGAGGGGACATTAGAGTGTAAGCTCCTCTGTACAGAGACTGATGTGACTGGGGGGGAGGGGACATTAGAGTGTAAGCTCCTCTGTACAGAGACTGATGTGACTGGGGGGGAGGGGACATTAGAGTGTAAGCTCCTCTGTACAGAGACTGATGTCACTGGGGGGGAGGGGACATTAGAGTGTAAGCTCCTCTGTACAGAGACTGATGTGACTGGGGGGGAGGGGACATTAGAGTGTAAGCTCCTCTGTACAGAGACTGATGTGACTGGGGGGGAGGGGACATTAGAGTGTAAGCTCCTCTGTACAGAGACTGATGTGACTGGGGGGGAGGGGACATTAGAGTGTAAGCTCCTCTGTACAGAGACTGATGTGACTGGGGGGGAGGGGACATTAGAGTGTAAGCTCCTCTGTACAGAGACTGATGTGACTGGGGGGGAGGGGACATTAGAGTGTAAGCTCCTCTGTACAGAGACTGATGTGACTGGGGGGGAGGGGACATTAGAGTGTAAGCTCCTCTGTACAGAGACTGATGTGACTGGGGGGGAGGGGACATTAGAGTGTAAGCTCCTCTGTACAGAGACTGATGTCACTGGGGGGGAGGGGACATTAGAGTGTAAGCTCCTCTGTACAGAGACTGATGTGACTGGGGGGGAGGGGACATTAGAGTGTAAGCTCCTCTGTACAGAGACTGATGTGACTGGGGGGGAGGGGACATTAGAGTGTAAGCTCCTCTGTACAGAGACTGATGTCACTGGGGGGGAGGGGACATTAGAGTGTAAGCTCCTCTGTACAGAGACTGATGTGACTGGGGGGGAGGGGACATTAGAGTGTAAGCTCCTCTGTACAGAGACTGATGTGACTGGGGGGGAGGGGACATTAGAGTGTAAGCTCCTCTGTACAGAGACTGATGTGACTGGGGGGGAGGGGACATTAGAGTGTAAGCTCCTCTGTACAGAGACTGATGTGACTGGGGGGGAGGGGACATTAGAGTGTAAGCTCCTCTGTACAGAGACTGATGTGACTGGGGGGGAGGGGACATTAGAGTGTAAGCTCCTCTGTACAGAGACTGATGTGACTGGGGGGGAGGGGACATTAGAGTGTAAGCTCCTCTGTACAGAGACTGATGTGACTGGGGGGGAGGGGACATTAGAGTGTAAGCTCCTCTGTACAGAGACTGATGTCACTGGGGGGGAGGGGACATTAGAGTGTAAGCTCCTCTGTACAGAGACTGATGTGACTGGGGGGGAGGGGACATTAGAGTGTAAGCTCCTCTGTACAGAGACTGATGTGACTGGGGGGGAGGGGACATTAGAGTGTAAGCTCCTCTGTACAGAGACTGATGTCACTGGGGGGGAGGGGACATTAGAGTGTAAGCTCCTCTGTACAGAGACTGATGTGACTGGGGGGGAGGGGACATTAGAGTGTAAGCTCCTCTGTACAGAGACTGATGTGACTGGGGGGGAGGGGACATTAGAGTGTAAGCTCCTCTGTACAGAGACTGATGTGACTGGGGGGGAGGGGACATTAGAGTGTAAGCTCCTCTGTACAGAGACTGATGTGACTGGGGGGGAGGGGACATTAGAGTGTAAGCTCCTCTGTACAGAGACTGATGTGACTGGGGGGGAGGGGACATTAGAGTGTAAGCTCCTCTGTACAGAGACTGATGTGACTGGGGGGGAGGGGACATTAGAGTGTAAGCTCCTCTGTACAGAGACTGATGTGACTGGGGGGGAGGGGACATTAGAGTGTAAGCTCCTCTGTACAGAGACTGATGTGACTGGGGGGGAGGGGACATTAGAGTGTAAGCTCCTCTGTACAGAGACTGATGTGACTGGGGGGGAGGGGACATTAGAGTGTAAGCTCCTCTGTACAGAGACTGATGTGACTGGGGGGGAGGGGACATTAGAGTGTAAGCTCCTCTGTACAGAGACTGATGTGACTGGGGGGGAGGGGACATTAGAGTGTAAGCTCCTCTGTACAGAGACTGATGTGACTGTGGGGGGGAGGGGACATTAGAGTGTAAGCTCCTCTGTACAGAGACTGATGTCTCTGGGGGGGAGGGGACATTAGAGTGTAAGCTCCTCTGTACAGAGACTGATGTGACTGGGGGGGAGGGGACATTAGAGTGTAAGCTCCTCTGTACAGAGACTGATGTGACTGTGGGGGGGAGGGGACATTAGAGTGTAAGCTCCTCTGTACAGAGACTGATGTGACTGTGGGGGAGGGGACATTAGAGTGTAAGCTCCTCTGTACAGAGACTGATGTGACTGTGGGGGAGGGGACATTAGAGTGTAAGCTCCTCCGGTGCAGAGACTGATGTGACTGTGGGGGGGAGGGGACATTAGAGTGTAAGCTCCTCTGTACAGAGACTGATGTGACTGTGGGGGAGGGGACATTAGAGTGTAAGCTCCTCCGGTGCAGAGACTGATGTGACTGTGGGGGAGGGGACATTAGAGTGTAAGCTCCTCCGGTGCAGAGACTGAGGTTGTACATTTTGCGTCTGCTTTAGAACATATATACAGAATATTTTATTCTTGTGTCGTGTAGAAAGTACATATTGATTTCATTTCCTTTTGTGTTTTGCAGCGGGGGGCTCTCTGCCTTACAGCCTCCAGACCGCCCAGAAACAGCCGTGGCTCCATTCTTACTTCCAGTAGGTAACAGAATGCAGTTTCAGCTTATATATTGCTGCATAGAATGGTGTCTGATTCACCTTAGACCAGATTAGCGCTGCAACCAACTAATCGATTAATCGCTAATGAGAAAAGTTGTCATCTATTCTCATTATCGATTCGTTGGTTGGATCCCGTAGCTCTCTCCTCCGCCGTGGGAGACAGAGTTTCATTGCCTCCATGATTGAAAGAACTGAAATCCAATGAATGAAAGGGGGCGGGGCCAGGGCCAGTCAGGCTGGGGAGGAAAGTGGTAGACGATGCTGGACGTCCTCCAGCCAGGAAATGAGGCGGAGCTCTATCTGACTTGCTGCAGCTTCTAATGCACATTGTGAGAAGCTCCCGGTGTGCAGTGACATCAGAGGAAGAGGGGAGGAGCCGGTACAACTGTGCAAGACTGAAGGGAAGGATGGAGGTCAGATAGAAGACTGAAGGGAAGGATAACATTGGGAGGTCAGATATGGTAATGAGAACATTGGGAGGTCAGATATGGTAATGAGAACATTGGGAGGTCAGATATGGTAATGAGAACATTGGGAGGTCAGATATGGGAATGTGAACATTGGGAGGTCATTGTCTCGTGCGGTTGGATGGGTTTCTATGACTCTGGGCTCCGTTATCATTCAGATTTTGTATTTTACCAGCAAGTGGAAGGCAGAGACGTCGGGACGCAGCAGAGCCATGCCTCACATCAAGACCTACATGCGTCTATCGCTGGACTACAAGGAGCTGGCCTGGTTCCTGGTGACGAGGTACGAGATTCTCTTGCTGGATAAATGATTTCATTATTTTGCCGTCTGTACATACTGAGAATAGATCCTCCAGGTGGAGCCCGGCCTCAGTCGTGTATTTGTGGAGGTCACTGGCTGTCCTCGTATCTAAGTCAGTGACTGTACAGAAGACGCCTCGGCCCGCTTTACGGCTGCAGCAAAACAGTATGAAGCAGATGGATCCCCTCTACTTAAAGAGGACCTGTCGCCAGATACATTGTTTCATGTTAAATACGTGCACACTACATCCGCATATTACTTCCAGGTATCATCACCTCTCATGGAGATCACATGACTCCCCCTGCAATGGCCTTCATCTGATGTTCTATCCAGAAGGACGGGGCCATCTTTTTTTCAGGCATCACCCAGGTTCACCATCTACTTTCTGGCCTGAGATGCCGGCTCAGAGATGATACAATATTATTGAGCCATTTATTCCAAACTGAAGTCGGGCGTTTCAGACCTTTTGGCAATCATTAGCGCAGTGTATGGAAACCATGGCTTCTCTAGAGTAGGGCTCGTCCTGGCTGTCACTTGAAGGTCCAGTCCCCACTAACGATTGACAATCATCAGAGTGATCATGTGATCAATATGTCTTCTATGACAGGCATGTTGGAGGCTTCACTGACAAGCCTTTACCCTGCAGATAGCACTGTAGGGTGTAGTGTTCTTCTGTTTAATCTTGTAATTGTCACATACAATTACAGAATGTAAAAAAAGAATCATTTGTTTTACAAATCTGCACTTTTTTTTTATAGCTTTTAATACAAATAAGAGTTGTATTGAAACATGCAGCAAATACAAGTCTTACCGTATTTTTCGCTCCATAAGACACACTTTTTTCCCCCAAAAAAGAGGGGGAAAATGTCTGTGCGTCCTATGGAGCGAATACCTATCGCCCGACGCCCAGGACATGCAGTTTCGGGCGCCGGGCGAGTAGTTTCTTTTTGTACATTCAGCCCTGCTCCTGACAAGCAGAGCTGAATGTACAGTGGGAGCCGCTGTTCGTTTAATACAAGGGATCTAATTAGATCCCTTGTATTAAATCGAGCGGCATCGGTGATCGTGTCCCCCCGTGACCCATTACGGTCCCCCATAGAAGCTCACCATAGAGCCCATTGAGCAGACGAAGAACGCCGTTCTTCGTTTGCTCTGTGTGATTACTGAGACAGCGCCACCTGTCTCAGCAGTCACTAACTGCAGCTTCTGTGACAGAATTTCTGTCATAGAATTTCTGTCACAGAAGCCATGCGTCCTATCGTCCGGAGCGTCTTATAGACCGCAAAATACGGTATATGTCCTTAAGATATAACAACTATTTAGGTAGGAAAAGTTGTCGTAGAGTTATTGTCAAGTTACTGCCGCTTCAAAACTTTGGTCCGGGCATCGATGACCTCTTGTCTACCCATAGCAGTAGCCGTGCTGTTTTTGCGCCCGAGGCAAGAGCAGCAAATTGTGCCCCTCAACAGACGTGCAGTATGTGACGTCATGCGCCCCGCCCTCCAGGATGGGGGCGCGAATGCGCACAATGCGCTGGTGGACAAATCCAAAGTAGCATAAAAATTTGCTACTTGAGGACACTGAGTCCTCTGCCCATACAGGGAGAGCAGCGGGGATCCGAGGAGAAGCTGGAGCCTGTGCTGCTCCTCTTCTCCCTGCCGTGCCGCAGCTGTGTTGGCCACCTGGCACCCTATTGCCAATGGCGGCCCTGTGCCTGTCATGGCAACAGGGGCGAGGGGGCGCAGCCAGGCAGGGGAGGACAGAGGTCAGATAGAAGACTGAAGGGGAGGACGGAGGTCAGATAGAAGACTGAAGGGGAGGACGGAGGTCAGATAGAAGACTGAAGGGGAGGACGGAGGTCAGATAGAAGACTGAAGGGAAGGACGCCCGAAGCGAGTGCTACAGCCCTGGTCCTACCTGTAGTCCCCGGATGAAAACTCATCATGCTGATGATCTGGCTGTTGTGGACCCGCAGCAAGGTGCAGATCTTTGCTTGCTGGATACTTGTTCCGGATTGGTCCCTCAGAAAATATTAATGCCAGAGATATCCAGGCAATTAGCATTTTCAGGCCGTCAATGGCAGACTACTTTCACTCTCCTATGACAGGTGTATATTGAGTCTCGCTCGCTCATACAAGGCCGTTACATCATTATCTGCCGGCATTGTTCTGTCACGCTGGATGTCTTCCTGCTACCTAGTTTTACCTCCTAGTTTTTTTTCGTACTGGCTGGATGAGAGATCCATACCGTCTGCACGGAACGCGTCTCCACCAGCGCAGGCTCTTCACCCCGGAACGGCGGCTTGCTCCAGACACGTCATTGATTTATTTACTTGTTTGCTCTTATAAAACAGAACAGAGACAAAGAAACCCCATTGAAGACCCGCAATCATTTCCCCGCACCTGACGATTACAACTGATCACCCCGCTGAGGCTTTGTGATAGAAGGAACAATTCAATGTGCTCATCGGTAATTCAGTCATCTGCTTTACGCGTGCTGCAGGTGCCTCCTTCTACGGGACACAGAAGCGATCTGGCGACAGGTAAGTTACCAGAATTGCTTCTGTTGTAAAGCCGACAGTCGGCTTTACAAGTTTAAACAGATTCCCGGCGGCGATAGCCGCCGCGAGTCTGTTTAAACAGCCCCGATGCTGGCGACGTACACTGTACGTAGTCAGTCACGAAGGGGTTAAAAAAATATGTGCTTGATAAACCTTAATTGTAAGTCCATCTGCGCTTACAGTTCCCTCTTTGTAATCCCATGAAGCCCCACATATACCTGTTAATCCTGCCAGTGAGGTCCACTGGCAGCTTCCTGTGACGGAGTGACAATAATGCTGCACTGCTCCTGAATTCAAAGCAGAGTTGTCGCTCTTGTGTAGGCTGTGCCTGCTTGCACTGCTGTAAGAGGAGAAGATGTTGCAGGGGACCTGGCTATTACCATTGTCACTGCTGTAGCTGGTCAATCAGCACCTGGGCACACTTAGTCCCGCCCACTGCTTTTCAGATTGACAGGACTGACTGTGTAGCTGAACCCTCCCACTGTGAGCTGCAGTGTCTGGGAGGGGGAGCGGGTGAGACACAAATGAAGGAGGATTTGGCTCGGTCAGGGGAGGTCAAGGAAGTTTTTTGTTGACTCTTCCTGGCATATACATGATATAATAACTAGATTTTGGGACTTGTTTAGACTGTCATATAGAACCTTTATTTGTTCTTTAATGAAGTGGTGCCGTTGTCTGTAGTTTTCTACCGGCAGGCCAGGATTAGATGATGTCCAATCCCCGGGTGGGGTGGGGGGGTCTTTGAGGCCCTGCGT